AAGATATTACAAAAGTCTGAATTAAGTAAGATATTGTTGACAAAGTCTGTATTACCTAAGACATACTGAACAAAGTAAGATATTGTTGACAAAGTTTGTATTACCTATGACATACTGGACAAAGTAAGATATTGTTGACAAAGTCTGTATTACCTAAGACATACTGGACAAAGTAAGATATTGTTGACAAAGTTTTTATTACCTATGACATACTGGACAAAGTAAGATGTTCTTGACAAAGTCTGTATTACCTAAGACATATTGGACAAAGTAAGATATTGTTGACAAAGTCTGTATTACCTAAGACATACTGGACAAAGTAAGATATTGTTGACAAAGTTTGTATTACCTATGACATACTGGACAAAGTCTGAATTAAGTAAGATATTGTTGACAAAGTCTGTATTACCTAAGACACACTGGACAAAGTCTTAATTAAGTGAGGTATTTCTGACAAAGTCTGTATTACCTAAGACATACTTGACAAAGTCTTAATTAAGTAAGATATTACTGACAAAGTCTGTATTACCTAAGACATACTGGACAAAGTAAGATATTGTTGACAAAGTCTGTATTACCTAAGACATACTGGACAAAGTAAGATATTGTTGACAATGTCTGTATTACCTAAGACATACTGGACAAAGTCTTAGTTAAGTAAGATATTACTGACAAAGTCTGTATTACCTAAGACATACTGGACAAAGTAAGATATTGTTGACAAAGTCTGTATTACCTAAGACATACTGGACAAAGTAAGATATTGTTGACAAAGTTTGTATTACCTATGACATACTGGACAAAGTAAGATATTGTTGACAAAGTCTGTATTACCTAAGACATACTGGACAAAGTAAGATATTGTTGACAAAGTTTTTATTACCTATGACATACTGGACAAAGTAAGATGTTCTTGACAAAGTCTGTATGTTCTTGACAAAGTCTGTATTACCTAAGACATACTGGACAAAGTAAGATATTGTTGACAAAGTTTGTATTACCTATGACATACTGGACAAAGTCTGAATTAAGTAAGATATTGTTGACAAAGTCTGTATTACCTAAGACACACTGGACAAAGTCTTAATTAAGTGAGGTATTTCTGACAAAGTCTGTATTACCTAAGACATACTTTACAAAGTCTTAATTAAGTAAGATATTACTGACAAAGTTTGTATTACCTAAGACATACTGGACAAAGTAAGATATTGTTGACAAAGTCTGTATTACCTAAGACATACTGGACAAAGTCTTAGTTAAGTAAGATATTACTGACAAAGTCTGTATTACCTAAGACATACTGGACAAAGTAAGATATTGTTGACAAAGTCTGTATTACCTAAGACATACTGGACAAAGTCTTAATTAAGTAAGATATTACTGACAAAGTCTGTATTACCTAAGACACACTGGACAAAGTCTTAATTAAGTGAGGTATTTCTGACAAAGTCTGTATTACCTAAGACATACTTGACAAAGTCTTAATTAAGTAAGATATTACTGACAAAGTTTGTATTACCTAAGACATACTGGACAAAGTAAGATATTGTTGACAAAGTCTGTATTACCTAAGACATACTGGACAAAGTCTTAGTTAAGTAAGATATTACTGACAAAGTTTGTATTACCTAAGACATACTGGACAAAGTAAGATATTGTTGACAAAGTCTGTATTACCTAAGACATACTGGACAAAGTCTTAATTAAGTAAGATATTACTGACAAAGTCTGTATTACCTAAGACATACTGGACAAAGTAAGATATTGTTGACAAAGTCTGTATTACCTAAGACATACTGGACAAAGTAAGATATTGTTGACAAAGTTTGTATTACCTAAGACATACTGGACAAAGTAAGATATTGTTGACAAAGTCTGTATTACCTAAGACATACTGGACAAAGTAAGATATTGTTGACAAAATCTGTATTACCTATGACATACTGGACAAAGTAAGATGTTCTTGACAAAGTCTGTATTACCTAAGACATACTGGACAAAGTAAGATATTGTTGACAAAGTCTGTATTACCTAAGACATACTGGACAAAGTCTAAATTAAGTAAGATATTTCTGACAAAGTCTGTATTACCTAAGACATACTGGACAAAGTCTGAATTAAGTAAGATGTTCTTGACAAAGTCTGTATTACATAAGACATATTGGACAAAGTCTAAATTAAGTGAGATATTCTTGACAATGTCTGTATTACCTAAGACATACTGGACAAAGTCTGAATTAAGTAAGATATTACTGACAAAGTCTGTATTACCTATGACATACTGGACAAAGTAAGATATTGTTGACAATGTCTGTATTACCTATGACATACTGGACAAAGTAAGATATTGTTGACAAAGTTTGTATTACCTATGACATACTGGACAAAGTAAGATGTTCTTGACAAAGTCTGTATTACCTAAGACATACTGGACAAAGTCTTGTTGAAATTAAGTACTGGACAAAGTAAGATATTGTTGACAAAGTCTGTATTACCTAAGACACACTGGACAAAGTCTTAATTAAGTAAGATATTATTGAAAAAGTCTGTTTTACCTAAGACATACTGGACAAAGTAAGACAAAGTAAGATATTGTTGACAAAGTTTGTATTACCTATGACATACTGGACAAAGTAAGATGTTCTTGACAAAGTCTGTATTACCTAAGACATACTGGACAAAGTAAGATATTGTTGACAAAGTCTGTATTACCTAAGACATACTGGACAAAGTCTAAATTAAGTAAGATATTTCTGACTTCTGTATTACCTAAGACATACTGGACAAAGTCTGAATTAAGTAAGATGTTCTTGACAAAGTCTGTATTACATAAGACATACTGGACAAAGTACAATGTCTGTATTACCTAAGACATACTGGACAAAGTCTGAATTAAGTAAGATATTTCTGACAAAGTCTGTATTACCTATGACATACTGGACAAAGTAAGATATTGTTGACAATGTCTGTATTACCTAAGACATACTGGACAAAGTAAGATGTTCTTGACAATGTCTGTATTACATAAGACAAACTGGACAAAGTCTGAATTAAGTAAGATATAACTGACAAAGTCTGTATTACCTATGACATAAGATGTTCTGGAATGTCAAAGACACACTGGACAAAGTCTTAATTAAGTAAGATATTGTTTTACCTAAGACATAACAAAGTAAGATATTGTTGACTGTTTTACCTAAGACATACTGGACAAAGTAAGACATTGTTGACAAAGTCTGTATTACCTATGATATCCTGAATAAAATCTGAATGAAGTCAGAATTATTAAGACATTCCTGATTCAGCCTGAACTTAGAATGTTTATATTCAAAATCATTTGATCTGTTTGTTTTTGTTTTTAAGGGTTAAAGATCCTAGTGATGTCACGATAACGTAAGTATTTTTTGTAATAGGTAATTAAAACCAATAAATTAGCATAAAAGATCAATTATAGGATATGTCTATGTGTATACATTTAGAAAACACTCTACATGTTAAGTCAAAGAAATAAAACAACATAAAGAGGTGTGATCCCCTCCACCCATTTATTTTTATATTCAAAGTGAGAAATTTCTGTTATTTGTCTTCACAACTTGCCATCATTTCCATCAACATTATCCGAATTCTTCAATACATATCTAACTTACATGACTTCAGAATAAGTCAAGGTCCTTCCTATAAGAGAACCTAAATGCACAAGGTTGCTACTTCTTATGAGACATGGTTCTATGTCTTTAAGATTTTCAGATGAAAACATGTTTTTATTAACTGAACTTATTCCTGACATCAAAGCTGAAATCTGACCTTTGACACAAAGGTCACATAGTTTGTACTTCAGAAAATATTAAAATAAGGTTTTAAATCTCAAACCTTCTAAGATTAATTATGGTGTTTGAAAGCTGACTCTTAAAGACCAAGTTCATATTATTAGCAAACTTTAAAAAGCACCAAATTCCTGGTAATAGGAACTGCCTGAATGTAACCTTGACCAGCTCAAAATCTGATATAACAGACCTGTTTAAACTAGTTCTTTCACTTGTTTTCTAATTTGCAAAACAAAATACAAAAACATATAGACTTTCTCATAACTTAACTACTTGTTTACAATTAACAATTAAAATTAAGGTTTAAAACCAGAACAAATTCATTGGAGGAATTTGAAAAAAAAAAGTTTCTAAACATATATCTAAGTTTTGTGAAAAGCCTTCTAGTGTTATTTTCAAGTGAAATACATGCTAACAATTTCTGCCATCTTACAGCAGATTTTTTTCATATTTTTATTCAAAATAAAAGTGTTTTTCCCTGTTTAAAACAGTGATATTTTCCCGATTTTTTGGAAAATCAAGAATGCCATTCGAGTCTCCAACTACAAACACACAGATCTTTAAAATTTAGCTTTGAGATATTGTTGCCAATGTAAAGTATTTCACTTGTAGTATGGTCTTTACATTGTCATAAATTTATGTCATACGGTGTCCTATATAGTTGAGTTAAACCAGTCTGATCACCTGGACACCAATGTTTAAGGGGCGTCACGTCATTTGAAGCAGACATATTAAGTTACATGAAGATGACGTGCAAAATATCTGATGAAACATATTTGTTTCGTTAACAGACTGCAGACCTCGAACACGTTATAGAAATGTAACAAGTAGGTCGAGATATTCTCAAACAAAATTCCTGACAAGACATCTGAAATTGTTGTGCAGCGTTTTTATCTCAAACCTCTATCAAAATACGGCATAAAAAGAATTCGGTCACCCATCAAAATATTCCAAATATTATGTAATATTTTATTGTTTCAGTCTTTATAGTTACAGCGTACGTCACTGTGCACGTGGATGCTTAATTTCATTATAAAATGGACATCGATCTCAGTGTTTTGCTTGTTGTAAATTTCTACACACTTTGCAGTGTATTTCAAAATATCTGTAATCAAAGGGAAAAAAAGAGTTTGGAGAGAACTATCTTCCAAGACTTCACCGATTTTGTCTACTTACCTTGAAGATTTAAACCAGAGATAGAATTAATCTCGTTTTCCCAGCATTGTAGCCAAGATTCACCCGGAAGGAGACTTCCTGATGGACTATGGTCTGCAGAATGGCCATCCATTTCGGCTCCGTAATCGCAGCCAAACTTCCCTTCAACAAAACGCCATTTTGTGTTGACTAGAAAAGTATTTGAGGCTAGTAGAAGGGTTGACTTATTAAATCACATATGATTGGAGATATTTGCTTTAAAAGAAAGTAAATCAACATTCAGATGAGGGATGGAACGTATTTGTATTAAAGTACGTCCTAAGTTTCTTCATAATAGCATTGCCCAATATGTTATTGTCCGTTTTCAACGCATTTATGTAATTACAAACCGTTTCCCCGTGAGAGGCCTCATCCAGACGCTGTACCATAGGGAGTATGTTTGGAAAACGTACTCACTCCCCACTGGGAATCGGTAATCGGAACATATCTTTCTCATGTGTACACATGTTAATTTAGCACTAATGTATTCCTACCAAGAGGCCGCTATCGTCAAAACGACTAATGTCTTTGCTTCGTGACCGATTTCATAACATATATCAATAAAATTGGGGAGGGAAAATGAACAGCATTAACCAAAAAGTGCGAGCCCTGCAACGAGAGTGTTGGAATGGCAGGAATTTTCATTTTATGCGCACCCATAAACTGATAAAGTGATTTCCAATGCCATGTTTCAAAACCAGGAAAATGAAGCTTCTCGGGTATTGATAGAAAAGACCTGTTTTCCCTTCCTCGGTCTTTTCATATCACATGTACATTTATACCATGTAAATGAGTTTCCAAATAGCATGGATCGGTCTGCTTAAGATTTTAATTTAAGTATATGTTAAAAATAATTCGTAATTCATTTCATATTTAAACGAGTTTCTAGGTAACAGGATCCGGGGTATAAGGCCGTGCTTGTTCTCGTAAGGAGCAAGTTTGGTTTGCGATCTTGCGATAGTGGGCACGTTTCTACATCAAAGTGAAAGTAAATAACTATTAATTGAATGTCATTACGCACATATACCAGTTGTTGTCACGTGATCGATTCATATCTCATTCCATCTTCAACCCATTTATCCATGCAACGCCTGTTTCTATCTTTCCATCCATATTTCCTTTTTGCCTTTAGACACTTTTTTATATGAGTATTTATTTTGGAATACTCACATTCTCGATCTGTAATGGATAGGTGGAGAGTATTCCAAATTCTCATAAAATATTTCCTTGGTTTCTTTAACGTTGTGGTTCTTTTAAACTTTTCCTTGAGAAAATTAAGACAAAAGATATCCTCTACATAATTAAAATGAAAATCAGACAAAGTTTCGCGATAAGAGATTTAATTGCCCAGTCTGTTATATAATTGTATATGTAACACAAACACACAGGATTTGGTCTTAAATGACTGATTTTTTAAAAGATAAACAAATTTATTTATTTGTTGATTTGTTTTGTCTTTTCCGTATCTCACTACCTCATCCTATCCCCCACCTCTATCTCCGCAATCGCACGCGGGACAGCAGCATTGGGGCACTTTATCCTTTAGATTGATCCCGGATGATTGAAACAGTTGCTACCTGGAATTTTCCTGCTTTTGACACAACCGTTTTCATTAATAAAGCCTACTTGTACATTTCCTGTCCATATCCTCCTTGTCGATTCCTCGTTGATATGTAAGGAAGCACATACTTCTCTTCCACCGTCAGGCGTCAGAACATTTTTTAAACTAAATTGAAATGTAATAAATTCTAAAAAAAAGTTTGCAATTACACTCAAACTATTCGTGACTCAACCAGCAGGTCCAAAAGTTCTCAACACAGAAATTATGTTGTAATTATGTAACAGAGCCAGCAGTCTCGACTAAGTCTACGTATTTCGGAGATAGACTTCTGCTGCCTTATGTCACATGACCTCACTTTGAACGGTGACTCAGTGTTTCGCCTTATGTCACCTGCTATTTATGTTCTCAATATATACAGAGCCTACGTCTTATTTCATTGTAATTTGAATAAAGTACATTTATACATCGGGTCTTCATTCCTTTCATTGTTTTTTCACTTAAGGCTGATCACACTCTTTTTTATTTTTGTAACTACAGTACTTGGGCTCACCTTTCACCTCTTTAAATTGTTTCTTCCGTATCTCGGTTTACTTCTGAATATCAAAATCATACAAAAAACTAGAGTTTTATCATTTTGAACTCTTGGATATATTTCAAACTAGGTAGAGATAAGCTTTTGTAACAATTAAGCTAAGTATTTCTTTACAAAAACTTAGGATCTGGCAGCCATGCCATTTTACTTTAAAGTCACCCTCTTTGACAAAAGGGCGGGTTGTTTTTTATTGAAATATCTCAGTTACCTCGACTTTCTTTATAATTTCACTGTAGAACGGGTCACTTGTTACTTCTTTGTACTGTGATTGAAGACCTCGGATCACAACTCCCATCTTTCGAATAGCTCAAACAATTACTCCTTTTATAAATTTCAGGTTATCTCCCTTCTCTATATGCTGTGACTACCAAAGGCCACCCCCTTACTTTATACTGTGACTACCCCAGGTCACTTCTCCTCTCCATATACTGTGACTACCCAGGGTTACCCCCTCCCTCTCTATTTACTGTGACTACTTCAGGTCACCCCTCCTCTCTATATACTGTGACTACCCCAGGTCACCCCCTCCTTCTCTATTTACTGTGACTACTCCAGGTCACCCCTCCTCTCTATTTACTGTGGATACCTCAGGTCACCCCTCCTCTCTATATACTGTGACTACCCCAGGTCACCTCTCCTCTCTATATACTGTGACTACTCCAGGTCACCTTTCCCCTCTATATACTGTGACTTCGTTAGATCACCCCTCCTCTCTATGTACTGTGACTACCCCGGGTCACCTCTCCTCTCTATATACTGTGACAACCTCAGGTCACCTGTCCTCTCTATCTACTCTGACTACTCCAGGTCATCCCCTCCTCTCTATTTACTGTGACTACTCCAGGTTACCCCTCCCTCTCTATATACTGTGAATACCCCGGGTCATCCCCTCCTCTCTATATACTGTGACTACCCCAGGTCATCCCCTCCTCTCTATTTACTGTGACTACTCCAGGTCACCTCTCCTCTCTATATAGTGTGACTATTCCAGGTCACCCCTCCTCTCTATATACTGTGACTGCTCCAGGTCACCCCTACTCTCTATTTACTGTGACTACTCTAGGTCAACCCTCCCTCTCTATATACTGTGACTACCCCGGGTCATCCCCTCCTCTCTATATACTGTGACTACTCCAGGTCACCCCTACTCTCTATTTACTGTGACTACTCCAGGTCATCTCTCACTCTCTATATACTGTGACTACTCCAGGTCACCCTCCTCTCTATTTACTGTGACTACTCCAGGTCACCCTCTCCCTCTCTATTTACTTTGACTACTCCAGGTCACCCTCTCCCTCTCTATTTACTGTGACTACTCCAGGTCATCCCCTCCTCTTTAAATACTGTGACTACTCCAGGTTACCCCTCCCTCTCTATATACTGTGACTACTCCAGGTCACCCCTCCCTCTCTATATACTGTGACTACCCCAGGTCACCCCCTCCCTCTCTATTTACTGTGACTACCCCAGGTCATCCCCTCCTCTCTATTTACTGTGGATACCTCAGGTCACCCCTCCTCTCTATATACTGTGACTACCCCAGGTCACTACTCCAGGTCACCCCTCTCTCTATATACTGTGACTACTGTGACTACTCCAGGTCACCCCCTCCCTCTCTATTTACTGTGACTACCCCAGGTCATCCCCTCCTCTCTATTTACTGTGGATACCTCAGGTCACCCTTCCTCTCTATATACTGTGACTACCCCAGGTCACCTCTCCTCTCTATATACTGTGACTACTCCAGGTCACCTTTCCCCTCTATATACTGTGACTTCGTTAGATCACCCCTCCTCTCTATATACTGTGACTACCCCGGGTCACCTCTCCTCTCTATATACTGTGACAACCCCAGGTCACCTCTCCTCTCTATCTACTCTGACTACTCCAGGTCATCCCCTCCTCTCTATTTACTGTGACTACTCCAGGTTACCCTACCTCTCTATATACTGTGAATACCCCGGGTCATCCCCTCCTCTCTATATACTGTGACTACCCCAGGTCATCCCCTCCTCTCTATTTACTGTGACTACTCCAGGTCACCTCTCCTCTCTATATAGTGTGACTATTCCAGGTCATCCCTCCTCTCTATATACTGTGACTACTCCAGGTCACCCCTACTCTCTATTTACTGTGACTACTCTAGGTCAACCCTCCCTCTCTATATACTGTGACTACCCCGGGTCATCCCCTCCTCTCTATATACTGTGACTACTCCAGGTCACCCCTACTCTCTATTTACTGTGACTACTCCAGGTCACCCTCCTCTCTATTTACTGTGACTACTCCAGGTCACCCTCTCCCTCTCTATTTACTGTGACTACTCCAGGTCATCCCCTCCTCTTTAAATACTGTCACTACTCCAGGTCACCCCTCTCTCTCTCTTTATACTGTGACTACGACGGGTCATCCCCTCCTCTCTATATACTGTGACTACTCCAGGTTACCCCTCCCTCTCTATATACTGTGACTACTCCAGGTCACCCCTCCCTCTCTATATACTGTGACTACCCCGGATCATCCCCTCCTCTCTATATACTGTGACTACTCCAGGTCACCCCTCCCTCTTTATATGCTGTGACTACCCCAGGTCACCCCTCCTCTCTATGTACTGTGACTACCCCAGGTCACCCCTCCTCTCTACTTACTGTGACTACTCCAGGTCACCTCTCCTCCCTTTATACTGTGACTACTCCTGGTCACCCCCTCCCTCTCTATTTACTGTGACTACTTCAGGTCACCTCTTCTCTCTATGTACTATGACTACCCAAGGTCACCTCTCCTCTCTATGTACTGACTACTCCAGGCCACCTCTCCTCTCTATGTACTTTGACTACCCCAGGTCACCCCTCCTCTCTACTTACTGTGACTACTCCAGGTCACCTCTCCTATCTTTATACTGTGACTACTCCTGGTCAACCCCTCCCTCTCTATTTACTGTGACTACTTCAGGT